GGTATCTACTTACTAGAGTATGCCCAAGTAGCGTATCGCGTATCCAACAAAATAACCATGAGATTAGTTATATTATAACTATTTATAATTAATGGCATTATCATGAAACTTCGCAGACTTAAGCTTTTGTACATAACAAATCAGATTTTTGTATTAAGTATTTTAATTAAATGTTTGTTTTGCTCGTGACTTTTTTGCACTTGGAATGTTGACTATCTGACTATTTGATTTTATGATTCAAAATACTTCCCCTCATGTGAAAACTTTTAAATTTCATTTGTGTAATCTCTGAAACCTACTATATACACATCAAACGTTTTCCTTTCAGTAATTCTTTATATTTTATCTGTTCCACCTAAGAAACAATACTTAAATACAGCATGACGAAGTAACATGTTATATTCATTTAACATCAAGTAAGTAATAGTAAATCCTATATAATGAAGTAACACAAGATCAGTATCTAACATCGGAAGATAAATTAAAACCTACACAAAGAAATAGCAGGTGATTTACAGTCTAGCATCGGAAGATAAATTAAAACCTACACAAAGAAATAGCAGGTGATTTACAGTCTAACATCGGGGAAGTAAATCCTATCTACTTAAGGAAGTAGCAGATGACCTATACATTTAACATCACTGAAGTAACACTTTATAGTTACACAAGGAAGTAGTTGATGATCTATATATAACATCACTGAAGTAACACTATATAGTTACACAAGGAAGTAGTTGATGATCTATATATAACATTACTGAAGTAACACTATATAGTTACACAAGGAAGTAGTTGATGATCTATATATAACATTAGGAAAGTAAACTATGCAACTACATAAGGAAGTAGAATGGTAAACACTTAAACATCAATAAATTAATACGTGAAGTTGATAAACAAAACAAAATAAAAGTAATATTTTTTTCTCTCTATGATCAAGGATATTTCGAATACCTCCCCCTGATAATATAATTTATAAACCTCACATAGAAAAACAGATGCACATTATCAAAATAATAGAAAAATAAGATAAATATTATAATTTAAGGTACCAATCCTCCAAATACCTGTTAGATAAATTTATTGTTGTTGTTTTTTGTTTGGAATTACAGTATTTCCAAATACCGTCCTAAACTAAAACCCCACAAATCTCCACACTCAAGAAATCTACCCCCACAGCACTGTACTGTGCTATCATATGTTTGGATATTATGGAGAAACTCAATAACAATATGTAACCTCTACAGTAGGATTTACGACTTATATAAAGGGAACGAATTTTTTCATCAATACAAATAACTTCCACTTTTTTATTTGCTAACAGAGCGACACTATGAAGTAGAATATTATCCTTAGGTTTAACTTTTGGGTTAATCGCAAATTGTTTACAACAAACTATTCTAGCAACAGACATGATCTGAAAAGAGTGTAAATTCCATCGTTCTTAAATCGTCTTTGTAACTGACTAGCACTAAGTCAACCACGCTCCTCCATTATCCTCTATTACTGCTATAGCTTTTCCAAATGGTTTCCATACCTGAAAAAAAAAATGTTCGGTTTATTGTAAAGTACAAAGTCACATAATGGGCTATCTGTGATATGCCCAACGCGAGTGTCAAAATCCGATTTCTAGAGTTATAAGCTCTCCAAGTTACCGCTGAGCTACCTGGAGAAACTCCAATAGAACAGCTGCCCGTGGTACTTGAGAATGTGCACCAAATGTGGTCCCGCTAGCTTGTGAGTGAGAATATGAAAACAGTTTCAAAAATGGCGCCCGCGGATTTCGAGAAAACCATGAATATAAATCCGATGCAAGATGCTGGTTAAACGACCTTAGAAACCTGTTTTTAGAGCCTCCATCATACTTGGGTGAACTTCCGGGAGTCCCTCTTTGTTACCCCTCGGTAGGAGGGCTACACGATATAGATAAGAGCAATCCCGAGTTCGCTTTCCACTTTATTATTATTATTCATAAAGTTACTGCCATAATGGGTAAGTAACTATAGAAAACAACAAACCAAAAATGCTAACTCGAAAACTGTTGGAGGTGTTGACGGACAGACAAACAGATCAACACAGAACATGAACTAATATAGAATACTACACAATGCATTTCTCCATCAATCAAATTGTTTAGGAAGTTCAAACTCACTTTTAAGGTTTAGAGACGGCTCGAATGGGTTACGAAGAAACTATTATTACAAGCTTAACACAATAACAGTAGTTTGTAATAAAATTTTCTTTGTTACCCATTCCGTCTCTAAGCCTTTTTAGTCTTAAAGTAGACTCCTCGTTATCGAACTATTATATTATTAAACGTTAAACAAATTTAAAATTAACCAACGTTATTTCTGTTCATGATAAAACAATTAAGAAAAATGTATACGTGCTGAACCCTATTTATTAGTTTGTGTTATCGAAATAATTGAACAAAGCCCAATGTCCCTGATGTGACAGCGGTAAGGCTACATATTTATAACGCTAAAATCCGAGGTTCAATTACGCCGAAGTAAACAAAGCAGATAGTCCAATCTGGAATTGCTCTAAAACAAACAAAGTTCAAGCGCAATTTTGCAAAAATTAATCGTGCCAGTTTTTAATTCGATCAAGCTTTTAAATGTTATTTTTTGGTAACCTTAAAATTCGTGGTGGTATGAAAACTATTGAGGCAGATACTTGTTGTTTTTTTATTATCTAGAGTAATATAATAATTTTTGTATGTCCAAAGAACTATAATCATTGCGATGATGCTCAATGGATACTGTTCCGGCTTTACAGTAGACTGGGTTAAGAGGAATTCATTATCATTTAATACATAACCTTTAGAAAAGTAACCCACCACGTATGTCAGTTCGTGCCATTCTCCTTACTAGCCGCAGCAACCTCGATATTATTGAACCGGGAATTACAAAACAGGTTTTCAGACGGATTGAAGCAAAAGAACGATGAGAGACTGGAGAAGCACATAAACCTCTATCACATTATCATGGAGAAAGTGTGTCACAAAGAAGACACGAGAAAGATCTGTAAAGTTTCTTAACCCATAACATTAAACCACTAATTGAAATTTGCGCGTGATAATCTATGCAAAACTTATCAAAGAGTCATTAAAGATTGTCTTGAAGATGAAAATATTTGTCTATCAGTTAGAAGTATTTGTCCCGGTGAAGAGAGTATTGCTGCAAGAATAGAGATAAGGTTAGAAAGAGTACTTCTCAAAACAAGCTTACCCACTAATCCAGCCAAAGAAAAGTCTGCCACACTGATTAAATGGAAGAAAATCTATATCAAAGATATCAGCAAAGCCAGGAAATGTCGAGAAATAACTCTAAGAAAATCTACGAGCCCAGTCACTCTCGAGACTTAGTACCAAAAAAAAGCTATGAGACAAGTATAAAAAATTAAGAAGAAGGAATGGGCAGGATAACATTACAACACTTGGTGTTTTTTGACACGGTGCAAATACTCAAGAAATTAAAAAAAATCAATAATCAGTAGTTTTAATACTATTTCTTTGGCCCACCCCTTACCAGTCAGATAGCTATAATGTCTCCCATAAGCAAAGTATAACTATTGAGCTTCCTATCTCACTTCCGACATAAAACACTTACCCCCTTATGATGTCATGCGTTTCGTTAGGGTCACGCTAATTTGATTACATACATGTGTCTGTACTTGGTTACTGGAAAAAAAAATACAATAGCGAGATTTAGCTATATACACTTTTCATTTAGTTTGGACAATTACTAATTACAAAGAGCACATGAAAAGTTACTTCATTTCCTGCTTATAACTTTGATACCAACTCTGTCATTTAGCATCTGTTTTATACAACACTCCGCTGTTCGTTGGTGAAAGAGTAGCCCAAGAGTTAGCAGTGGGAGGCGATGACTAGCTACCTTCCCTCTTGTCTATCACTGCTAAATCAGGGATGGCTAGCGCAGATAACTCACGTGTATCTTTGAGCGAAATGCAAAACACAACCAAAACAAACCAATACATCAGTATAGTGAATTCCTTCGTTGTCTTGCATGTTAGCTACTCTATTGCATAAGATATGCTATTTTCTTAGGAAACCCCATCATGTGATTTGTGCAAACTGTTGTACAAGATAACAGAAGTGCCAGGATGCACTAAGAAACAGTTGGCCATATTTTTGGCGTCATCTCTGCTGCTGAAATTTTGTTTCGTTTAATTGACAAGCACATTGGTTCAGATATGTTCATGTTTATTTTGCTACTGTTACTTTTTTCTAAAATTCTATTCATTGTTCTTCAGCTAAAATTTTGTTATGTATTGTTTAGCAACGGCAAAATCTTTGCTTTATTTCTATAACTTCCAGACGTTCTGTCATCTGTTAATAAAAGTCTCTTGTGTTTGTTTTACATATGGTGTCTGCCTCTTTACTGTTGCAATGGACCGAGCTCTATTACACACTTATCTAGGGTTTTCGAATTCTCTATTGCTATGGGGATGTCTGACTACCTGTAAGAATATTTTTATCACAGTACTTCACATTTATCTGTGTTTAAAGGATAAGCTGATATATGAAATGTACTTATGGAATGCATTTTGCAGGAATGAACTTATTTCTTGGTTCAAAACAACAAATATCTAAAAGCAATGTATTTTTATATAATATACGTTTTATTGTATGCAATAAAACTCGTAAAACTACGTATCACGAATTTTTTATGAGAAGGATAATAAAGTTTGGAGGCTTGTATTTCATAATTCTGTATTATGTTAAATAAACAAAGCTATTACTTAAGAGTGCATTCTTACACTATGATTTTAACTTGTGTTCATTAAAATGTAAAACTGTACAAATAGTTTTGAAATGTTCATGGTATTATACGTCACGAAGATAAAACACACTTTTACATCTGCAGATTGTGGTTGATAAGAAGGCAGTAGAGTTTACATAACTACGTCGCTGCTTATCTAGTGGCGCTATTCAACATATATATGTAACAAACTAGGGTTATTTCTCTGTATAGACGACAGACGTTTAGACATCGAATGTTGCAAGTTTCCGCCTCCACACCAACATCCTAACTGTATGCCCATCGCCATCCCACCGAATGATCCTTTCTACAAGTTCTTCAACAGAAAGTGTATGGACTTCGCTCGCAATCTTCCCGGATTAAAACCTGGATGTACTCTTGGTAAATCATCTAATACGCACGATACGTTAGACTTCAAACCTTGGATAAGATAAAAACTAGTAATTATTAATTATAAAACGATTTAAAGTCATTCATTACTAACAACGTAGATGATACTTGCTTTTTTATGTGAAAGCTCGAAGAACCTTATTTTAAGCTGTAAAAAATAAAGGCTGATATTTGGGATTACGTCCGATAAAATACCTTTAACAACAAAACTACGTAACTTTATCGTCGAACTTATTTAAATGGTAAGTCTTACCATGAACGTTGTTTACCTTTATTTCAATTTTAATATTCAGTTATGTAAATTCAATCAGAGTACTAAGTCAGACCTAAAGTTACACACTTTGTAACAATAAATAAAACTAAACTCACGCGCCTTATGTATTGCTTTAATATCGAGTTAACTATTGAGTTTGTTTAATCATATTAGTTATTTGTCTTTTCTGACATATTTGCAGTAAAGTTTGTAAATATGAACCAAACTACGGAAAGCCTGTAGTTTATTGGGCCAAAACCAAATTACCACTTTTTTAAAACGTTATATTAAAACTATAAAAACGTATGTAAATGATATATAATTATGTCGTTTTCGTCTTCGTTTCTGTCCAGGTCCTAGATTCCAGACCAACCAAATATCTGCTTACATTGATGGAAACTTCATCTATGGTAGCCACCGAGAAGAAGCAGAGAGGATACGAGAGTTTCACAAAGGTAAGTCTGAGGTATAAAAAGAGGGAGAGGTACTGTAAACTTCTGCACAAAGGTAAGTCTGAGGTATGAACAGAGAGAGAGGTACTGTAAACTTCTGCACAAAGGACAGTTTCACAAAGGTAAGTCTGAGGTATGAACAGAAAGAGAGAGGTATTGTAAACTTCTGCACAAAATATAGTTTCACAAAGGTAAGTCTGAAGTATGAACAGAGAAAGAGGTATTGTAAACTTCTGCTCAAACGACAGTTTCACAAAGGTAAGTCTGAGGTATGAATAGAGAGAGAGGGGTACTGTAAACTTCTGCACAAAGGATAGTTTCACAAAGGTAAGTCTGAGGTATGAACAGAGAGAGAGGGGTACTGTAAACTTCTGCACAAAGGATAGTTTCACAAAGGTAAGTCTG